GATGGAGTATTCCAAGGTGAAGGTAGTCCATTATAAATTTAGTCCTTTATTCTAAAGGTTTACCTACAAGCGTTTCAGAGCTAATGTTGGTTTACGGCTCCACAAGATAACCGGATTTGTAGCTGTGGGGCGGTGCGAATCAACCCCATATGGTCTCAGGAATAATCCCCGGAAGAGATTTAATCTGACTGTGGATGATTGGAAACAAGAACGGCGGGTAAAGAGAGGAGGAAAGAATATAACTACTGGGAATTATCTCATCCACTCCCGCTCTCACAAATAAAATTTCTGTTGGGCAGTGTCTGCACCTACCTCAAAACCAATAGTGGACTGGATATGATTATTTTGAAGTCTGATGGGTGTGATTTTCCGCTTATTTTCACATCTTGGCCATCACTCTTTATATTGGATTACATCTGCGTGTTTGAAATTGATGCAGTGGTGTTTGAATGACCCATGTATCTTGACCCGAACTTGAACCCTATGCCAACTGAGTGTTGAAGAGGTCCTCTTTCAAGACTGATGCATTCATTTCATGAAGGGAAAGTTATAGAAGGGGCAGGGAAAAACAACTTCATATCTTACGGTTGAAGTCATCTTAAATAGTCAAGATCTGAAGAATCTGGTCAATTGGGTAACATGGAGCTCAAATCTGGATATTCTAGCTGTTTGTTAGTTGCTGGCCTCGTGATCCACAGCCTTGAGAAATATGTGCATGTAAACATGATACATCACAGCCAGAGAGGATGTCTTTTGAGAAAGTTGGAAAATTTTATTGGATATTACAAGAGGGACTCATTTGAATTACTCTGCTGTCAAACAAGAGAGTTAGCTGGAAATGGGAAACAAGTGTGTATTCCACACAAGCCGGGAGTGATTGGTAAATATTTTCCTGTTTGGGATTTTGAGACATCTTGGATTAATCCACTGTCTGTGATTTTGACTACTTACAATTGCACCAAAATGGCATTGGAATATGTTTCACAGTATACAATATTATTGTAATCCATGATCTGGTATGACATTGTGTAAAGTTGCTGATGGGACCTGTTTTGTTCTAACCACCAGAATGCGTTGTATCCATATATTTTTTCATTCAATCTGCAGCGGAAAGCTGAATCTGTCGAGCTGGTACTGAAGATGACTGGGTATGTCTTCCCAATGCAGTGACAAATGGATGGATTCCACATACATTTTCCCCAATTTGGGTTGGCCGTTTGACAACTGAAATCTTGTGAAATAATATCAGACAGCTGGACATATATCAGACAAGAAGGACTAAGTGTGGACATTGACACAAAACAGGACATGAAGAGGCCAAGTGAAACAAAACATTACAACCAGTTTAATTAAATTTGTGGTTGCTAGTTTGTACATGTGTTTTTTGAAAGAATGATAGGCAAATAACAGGAACAAAACCTCAAGCAGAGAAAAACAGCATATCAATATCATTTTTGAGTAATCTGACGGGAAGAGTTTGGAATTAAGAAGGGACTACTGGGTTGGATCTCTTTCCAGTGATTCAAGTAATCAATGGTAATTGCTTCGGCAAGTTGATGGCAGGTGGGTGGCTTTTGCAGTGCAACAATCTTGTTGGGTGACTCAAAAGCTGGTTTAAATATTTTAACAATGTAAGCAGAGAGATTTTTCCAAATGGGTTCCTCGGGGGTGCGTCGAGTGGACGAGGTTTCACTGATTATTGAAATGGCCTGAATGAAAGAGATGCATTCCGAGACTGGGGCGGTTCGGTGGTTTCTGGAGGCAATGAAGAGTCCACGAACACCACCAAGTAAAAAGTATACAAGGGGTTGGAAGTTCTGTCGGGATTGTATTGTTTGAAGCTGTTTGCTTGCCTCGTCCTCCAATTGTGTCAGCTGAGTTGAGTATTCCCGGTAGTGGTTACGGCATATGAGCCCTGTGGATTGGGGGTTGGAGTTCCAACCGGAGCGAGAGCGGTTCATTCCTCTGGGTGCTGTCAGGGTGTGGCATACTTGAGCGCGTGCGTTTGGAAAATGCCATAAGC